GTGAGGGGTGACGCGGGGGTCGTGCGGGTCACTCGACCTGATTAACTACATGGATAATTGATCTAATTGATATGTTGTATATTACTATATAGCAGCAGATCTGCTGTTTTTGTTCGATTTGCTGTATATGGCAGCGGATCTACTATTTTTGCTTGATTTGTTGTATACGATAGCAGATCTTCTGAGACCACATGTGTGACGTAACTGAACTAAGGAAACGAACTAAAGGTGTGGATAAAGAAAATCATTACTGACCAAAAACTCGGCGGTAGAAAACCAGAAACAGGAGGCGAAAAATAATAGATGGGAGGGGAAGCTTCACCAAACACACGACCAACTGCCTTCAATAGTAGAGATGATTGTTGATGACAAGTGATAATAGTTGGCCATTAACAAGTTATTGTAGGGAGTATTATTTTGCAGATGCAAGACACTGGTTGCTTGCTTCTATCATCCTTCTCACGTTTCATGTGTCCCATAGAGTCAAATAAGACCTTTTTTTCTTAGATTATGGATTTACTACCTTTACCGATAAGTCATACAGAAAATTTGGAAAAAGGGTAAGAACGATAGTAGCATACCATATGAATCATATTAGTTCTTACTAAGCCTCGCATTTGTTATTCAGCTCGAAATTCTCCATCGAAGTCAAAGGTACATGTTTAAGAACAAATTCTTACTAAGCCTAGCACTAGCATTCAGCTCAAAATTCTAAATGCAAGTCAAATTCTTACTAAGCCTAGCACTTGTTATTCAGCTCAGAAGTCTCCATCGAAGTGTGCATGAAACATGCACAGAACCTTATCTTCGCGCTAGGAATGAGGCCCTTGCACAGTGACAGCCTGATGGGTTCAAAATGAAATTCTCGACGCGGTCATACTGATTAGTTGCATATGACATTTTCTCTTTCAGTATAGGTCAGTCCAAGTTCATCTAAATCTGTCTAACTTCAAGTTCAACATAGGCCTTATCCAGCATAGCCGAACACGAAACGGAAGTCCAAACATAGTCCAACTCAACGACGTTCATGCTATTTGACTGGTCCAACAATGCTTGGTCAATCAGGCAGTTAAGTTTATGTAATGTCCATGGATGTGACTCACTGATTGATCACGGTTTGCGCACAGTTCTATATTAAAAAAATGAATTTTAATGGGCAAAATGAACTCCACGTGATAGGGACAATAGGAACAACACATACTTAAGGCTTCCTTAGAGTTTTAAATTCATATTTAGAGTGACAGCACTCTTGTTCTGCTTGCTGAAACCTGAAACTGCAATGTGGCTAACTGGCAAGCCATTAGTACAAGAGAGTACATTTATGGCTGGGAAGGGTGACCCAGGATGAGTTGGGATATTCCTCGTGAACTTAGATTTATGTTTAACTTCAATTAGCATATAAGCAAATTCGTTGAGAAAGTTGCAGAAGTGAACAATTGAACGCTACGACTTTGGCAGGCTCGTGTATTAAAAAACTGATCAGTTGTGGATCTGGATTGGAACCACCAGTAGTAGTCTTGCACTATGATGAGTGGTAACTGGTAAATTGTCCAATTTCAGCGTGTAGTCATTATGCATTCCCGCATATATTTGTCCATGCCTATTTTAACTAGCACGAATCAGCACTTTTTGTCAGTGCTAAGTACTGGATAGCACATTTAGTCTCGGAAAGTCAATTTAGTCTTTGTATTAATAGCTTACACATGACTTGGAAGACTGTAGCAGTAACAAAGAGCGTACCTACATGTGGAGAACTGTGCCATTTAACTAAATTCACATCACCACCCAGCTCCAGCAGACGCCGTCCAAAATTTTGAACGGCCGAACATGGAGCAAGTTCATCATCCTCTGAACAGAATATGAGTATTGGGCCAACATGCTGCACATATAATGGATGAAGGTCACATATATATGCAAAATTTCTACCTGCAATCAGGTTATAAGACATTGTAGTCAATGGAGTGACATACCACTGATGAGTATAGTGTCTCCCAATATTCTTTGCGCTGTGCTTCAAACTTGCCAATGAAAAGAGTGTCTAGACCCGAGGCAATGCCTCTAGTCATCCATGATAAGACACGTGGAGGTTCAGGCATCTTCAGGACACTTGGGTGAAGAAGAAAGCGGGTGCCTAAATCACTCACAAAATCTACAGGACTCGAGTCATATATTTGTCCACATACGCAGTCCCGTACAAGTTGATAGTCATCCTGTAACAAGAAAAAAGCATTAAGTTTTCAGCAACATGAGTAAATACAAACTAAAATAACGCCCATTGGTAGGCTGCAACTTGTTTTATTGAATAAAAATTTCATGACAACTGCGTGCAAACACAAGGGGCGAACAGCAAAAATGACCATCATACCAAACTCAGCTGCCCTTTGCACCTTCTCTGGATCAGCTGCCAGTGAACAAAGATAGCTTTAGCCTACAGACCCTAGACAAGGCATCAAGAGATAACTGTTCCCTTTAAAGGCTTACAGAGGCTTCGATCTTCTTACCTGAAGAACCTTGTATGTGCAACCTTTTGGTCCTCCCGAAAAGGATGCAAACACAACAGGTACTGGTCTAATATTCAGTTCCTGGATTTTGAAGATTAAATCATCAATGGTCGATGATTACAACAAGTAATCAGACGTACCAAAACAATTAATAATCTACACTGCACACAGTAATTGACCCAAGCCAGGTGGAGGTAGCAATAGGGTGGGATGCACAGTTGCGCAGACCTTAACGAGCTCCGTGAGCACCCGGTCAGCAAGCACAGCAGCCTTCTCCGGCATAAACCTGGGCAGACATGCAAATGGGATCAAAAAAAGGATTACATTGTATAGGCTATCAGATCACACTACAAGCAATTGAGAGTTGCAACCATCCAACAGAATCCGCATATCCTCGCAGCTTTTCCTCGCACATCCAACCTACCTATCTTAAGTTCTAGATTTCCTGATCAATTTGGAAGTTGCCAAAAAGACGCATACCAAGTCTAGCATCAGCCGCGTGCCCCCAAATATCCCAATCTAGCAAGAACCGAATATACTCTAGTAAAGTTTGCATCAGGTATCCAATCAGATAAAACGCCCCTGAAATTTTCGCTTCCTGAACATGGGAGTGGAGAGAGGCGCACGTACAGGGTGATGAAGTCGGAGTGGCAGACGAGGCACGCCCACCCAAGGGCCGCGTACAGGTCCACGTACGCGCGCACGTGCCGCTCCTGACTCGACAGCCACGCGAACATCACCACCACGCCGCCGCCGGCCTCCGCACCCGCGGCGCCGTCGCTCGGCCGCCGGGCGCCCCAGTAGTGCCGCCCCCACATGCCTCCTGCCGAACCTCCCTGCCTCAAGTTTCTAGAAGCCTCAGTGCTCCTCCTCCTCTGCTTGACTTTTTTTTTTTAGGAATTCCTCTGCTTGACTTTGGGGCTAGAAGAAACCGTGAGGACAGGCGCCCAAGCGTGTGCCAATCGGATTGAGATCCTCCGCTGTAATGTAAGGTGCTGTAGTGCGGATGATATGTGGGGTCGGGTTCACACGACAATGACCCTACAACATTGTACAGTACTGCAGAGGATCCTGACCCGTGCCAATCGTCGGGGAGAGAATTGGATATTTGCCACTTTTTTTTCCGGAAAAATGAGGAGCTATTCATCTTCAATCATAACAGTACAACAAACAACGGAAATAATATAAATTACATTCGCATTCACTGAAGCGAGCCGGAGGCGCACTACCGTCATCGCCCCTTCCTCGCCGGAGTCGGGCACAACTTATTGTAGTAGACAGTCGGAAAGTCGTCGTGCTAAGGTTTCATAGGACCAACGCACCAGAACAGCAACCGCCGCCGATGAAGTGAAGTTTAGATCGGAAGGATCCAACCTAAAGACACATGAACAAAAACGAACAAAGACCGGATTCGAGTGGATCCATCAAAGACAACCACCGACCAAATCTCGCGAGATCTGCCGGAGACACACCTCCATACGCCCTCCGACGATGCTAGATACACCATTGGAACGCGGGCTAGGCGGAGAAAACCTTATTCCATCTTCAAGAAGCCGTCGTCGTCTCGTCTTCTTGAGCAGGACACAAACCCTAACAAAACTTGAAGAACCACCTACAAACGAAGCCCTCCCGCTGGCAAGGATCGGGATCCACCACGCACCCATGGCCCTAAGGCCACGCGAGACGTGGGAGATCGGCGACGCCGCTGACTAGAGGCAAAAACCCTAGCCGCTTTTTTCTTGGAGGAGGGACCTCGGAAAAAACTTTCAATACATGGCTTCTAGAATTGCCACTTTTAAGATTGGCTTCGTAAAATTGCCACTTTTCTTATTGACTCTTTGATTAGCATGCCACTTCCTTTCTTTTATTGATTTTCTTTTTTCTTTTTCCTTTCACAAGCACTAGAAAAGACCGTACTACCCCTGTCGTTGTACACGTACTATCCACATCCTAATTGATCGTAATTGATCCTTAAAGCAGACGAGAGCGTACTGGCCGCCGAGAATACCGTGTGCGTTCCATCATTGATCTCCTTGACGCAGAGTGTCGCAGATCGCCTAGAAGTCGTGTGCCGCCGTTCTTCTCGACGTCCCGTGCCACTGATCTCGTCAATGCTGCGTGCTGCCTATCTCGCCGACGCCGCGTGCATGGATTTTGGACGGTATCATGTCGAGTCTTTTGAGAATTCACATGGATTTGAGTTTTGGAAATTTTTGGAGCCACTTCTCAGTACATCCAGCTGCATGTATAGTTCAGCAACACTCTTTCTTAGGCATGGTATAATGGTAGGTGCTTAGAGAGGTGCTTATAAAAATAAACCGAGTTTTTCTGAAGCACTAGTGCCTACTTCTACAGAAGAGACGCTTAATTAAGCGTCTACTCTATACAAATAAGCATTGATACTTAAAGAAAAGCTTGGTTTATTTTTTTAAGCATCTCTCCTAAGCAACTAGCATTGTACAAGGTCTTATAGCTTTACGTAATGATCTGCTATGGCATGGTTGATATCAAGTTTTTATGTGATTATGGTCATTTGACACTGTATGTTGAGCTTGCCCTTGTTGAATTATTTATCTGCCAACATGAGTTCATGAAAGAATGTCATAGCTTGTACCAAATGACTGAAAAAAAAGCTTCCAAATCACATAATTTCATTCCTTAGTACAAGACGTATAACAAGTTCTCACCGATATACTACGTACGTGTAAACCAGATGCATTCGTGTAGATAGCCACAGGGGTAAGCTAGTCTTTTCACTAGCGTGTAATGTGAAAAAACAATTAAAACGGGCTAATGGCATGCTAATCAAGGATGCAATGACTGAAGTGGCAATTTTGCAAATCAAATCTCCAGAGTGGCAAATCTGCAAAGCCCCAGTGGCAAAAATACGGCGGTTAAGCTGCGAAGCGTTGAGCTAGGAATCGCTTGTGACTATTCATACTTTTTTTTTGACAACTAAATTTCCCTCTTTATTCATTGGTGATAACACTTACATCTTTAAGTAAAAGAGGAAGAAGCTCATTAGGAGCCATTTCAATCCACTCACTGCAGAATTTAGATCTAACTACACTAGCTAATTCATGAGCAACAGTGTTTGCTTCTCTAGGACAGAACTCAAACCGAATTGAACTAAACTCACATGCCAAGTGGTAACAATCATCAATGATGGCTGCTGCATTCCCCGCATACTGATCGTCCTTGGTCATAATCTCCATTAGTTCTAGGCTGTCGGAATTAACGACAAGCCTGTTACACCCTCGTTTCAATGATAAATACAGTGCTTTTAATCAACCGTTCAATGGAAATTATAGTATAACTTCTACAACTATGTGAACGGACGTTTGGCTCTCGGCCTCTTTGGAGGCCTTTTTTTGAAAAAAAAACAAAATTCAAACTTTCCAGTTTAAGAAAAAACTGAAAAAAATCGTGCTAGTAAACAAGGATGTATGTGTATGTGTGTAAAATTTCAGGATGAAAAATATTGAAATGCGACCTATACAAAAAAGACAAATTCATGGCCTCGGAAAATGAATAGTATCATGTGTTAAAAAGCCTTAGAATTGTCTTTTTTGCACGCACAACCCTCGTTTCAACGTATTTTGCCCTGAAAATTATACACATATGTGTTATGCCTTCATGTATATCTGGATTTTTTTCAGAATTTTTTGAAATGTAAAAAATACATAATTTGACGAAATTCAATTTTTCAAAACCGAGCTCCATGGAGCTCGGCCTCCAAAGACAATATTCGCTACAACTATCACTAGCCTACAAAAACATCTTGTATTTTGAGATGGAGGTAGCATTATGTAATGGAACATACTGATAACCATCGCTTTCCTCATTAACCATTTGCCACGTAAATAAATTTGTCTTAGGATGCATTATGTTATTATTTAAGTTACTCCCAGCTAAGTTACACCCACTATGGCTAGCCTTAGGTATATCTTCTTTGTAGTATTGTCGAGGCAACGAATCTCACAGTGAGCGCTAGGGGTATGAGTAAGGGCTCATCCTAGCGACGACACATGTGTGACACTCGGATTTTACGAGTTCAAACCCCTCGCAGAGAGGTAAAAGCCCTATGTCTCAAGCCCTGGGGCTATGTTTTCTCTCGGGTATCCGATTACAGGAGGGTTGTGAACCCCTGTCTAAGCGCTGGAGGGCGGCTTATATATAGTGTGTCATCCCTCATTAAGGCCACTTTACAAGGGAGATGAAGAGGAGAGTTAGTACAGACGTTACTAGTAATTGCTGTCGTAACTACACTTGAAGCCTGGCGTTATGCTCCTCGAGCGTTACAGTTCCCACGTCGCTCTTCGCCTTCTATGTTTGAATGCTGGTGAGTGTTGGGGATATAACTATTGGGTATGACCCGCCCAGGAAGGGCCGGGTCATGCCACTGGCGGCTTAAGAAGAGAAGGCCCAGGAGGATGATGAGGATGGTGGTCCATAGAGCAAGCTTATTCAAAGCCCAAGACCCGGAGATGACTTGAGGCCCATGGGTATGAACCGCCATATTGGGTAACTTGTATTGTAAGGCAAACTTAGTTCGTCACCGAGCTGGACACGTTGTGTATGAGTCGACCGGGACTCTGTAAACCGCCGGGCATCAACATGTGTATATAAAGGGGTGACCCGGCGGCAAGTTGGGGCGAGAAAACAAGAGATCGAGAACTAGGTCAAGCGTATTCGCTCCCTGGTAATCAAAAATCCAAGCAATACAACCCCAAACTGGAGCAGGCCTTTACCTCGTGGCGAGGGGCCGAACTAGTATAAACTCTTTGTGTCCTTTGTCCTGATTAACCCCTTCAAGCTAACTACGTCGCGATGGCTCCACATCTAAGTCCTTTTGCTAGGGCATCTGCCGTGTTAAGTCCACGACAGTTGGCGCCCACCGTGGGGCCAGCGCACAGTGGTTTCGAGTTCTTGAAGGGCAACTTCACAGGGATCAAGGGATACGTTGTGGGTCGGATGACCAAGAGTCGTTGCGGCAAGCTCTACATCGATGATACTGGCTGGGGCCCCGAGGCCGGCTCAATTGAGTACGGGTACCGGGTCCCCTTCGGCGGAATCCACGTCTTCATTGGCAAGATTGGCGAATCGGGCCCTGAGCCGGACACCTGCACCGACATCGTTGAGACGGCTTAGCATGCACGACCCGCCAAGCTTCAAGCCGTTGTGAAGCACGCCTTTGTGGGTTTCATCCATGGGGCGGAACTTGAGGAAGGATCTGTGTCTGGTGGTGAGATGGCCATCTACTCCGATGGTGAGTCGTCAACCGGTGAGACCAATTCAATGTATCAACTGCAAGACGGCCGGCTTGGGGGCTGTTCCGATGGTGACAGTATTCCAGACCCATATGAGCCACCGAACAGGGTTGCAATCTTCATTATCGGTACACAACCAGTGCTCGGTTCGACAACCACCGCAGGCATGACCTCCAGCTCAACGGCGGCGGCGGCGGCTGGGGCTAGCGGCTCTACACGCCCGCCGGCTCAGGTTTTGACCGAATTTTTGGATGCTTTGGCGGCTTTGATGGGGGTGGAGGTGACCCTGAACACTCAAGAATAACATAAAGTGGACGTTTGTGAAGCTACGAGATGAGATAGCTCAAGCCAAGGAAGAACTGGCGGCTGAAAATGCTAGGATGGCCACGGAGCAAGCTGCTTCAGACGCTCAGGCACAACGGATTCATGCAGAGTCTTTTCGGCTTACCTTGGATCAAAATGCTTCAAATGCCATCATGAGAAGGAGGCACCAGAGTCGCTTACCTCTGGAATACGATGCGAGAAACCTTCTCAACACGCCGGGGGCA